GTGGGGCCGGCCGCCGGGGCAGGGTCCGGGGGCGCAGCGCGGCGGGTGTAGGTCTATGTCGCGGGCGGCGGCGGCGGCGGCGGCCGCGGAGGGACGATGCGCGAGTACAAAGTGGTGGTGCTGGGCTCGGGCGGGGTAGGCAAATCGGCCCTGACCGTGCAGTTCGTGACCGGCACCTTCATCGAGAAATACGACCCCACCATCGAGGACTTCTACCGCAAGGAGATCGAGGTGGACTCGTCGCCGTCCGTGCTGGAGATCCTGGACACGGCGGGCACCGAGCAGTTCGCGTCCATGCGGGACCTGTACATCAAGAACGGCCAGGGCTTCATCCTGGTCTACAGCCTCGTCAACCAGCAGAGCTTCCAGGACATCAAGCCCATGCGCGACCAGATCATCCGAGTGAAGCGGTGAGCTGGCCGGGGCGGCCCCCGGGGGGCGCAGGGGGCTTCGCGGTGCACCCCGGAGTCACCGTCCCGGGGCCAGAGCTGCCCGCCTGGGGCAGTGGGGAGGGGAGCTGTCGAGGGAGACGGCTCTGAGCTTCGGGCTTTATTATTATCGGCATCTTCCTCCTTCTGAATCTCAGATTTGAGGGCTTTGTTTCACAACTCAAATTTGTCATCCGGTTGACCCACAGCCCGGCTCTTTGTCTCTTGGATATTATCAGTAGCGCTGGTACAGAACCCCGAAAGGAAACAAAGTTTAAAACTTGCAGGGGGTAGAGGGGTGGGGAGTTTCGTGTTGGAAAGAGGGGAGCTGTGCAAGTATAGGAGAGACATTTGCAGATGGAACAACAAAAAACCTACCTTTGCAGGGTTTTACAGCGAAATTTCTCACATCTATACTGTAATCATGTCATGTTGAGAAGAAAGACACCTACCTTTCTCATCTCATGAAAGATTCGATGGTGCCAAGGCGTTTTACAAAAATGAACTCTCTAATTTAGTGCGAAACTTTAAAGACAGATTATCAAATCATTTGAAGACGTAACAGCCCAGTGGGGTTGCGAGAGTATTAGCATATAGGAGCACAAATATACCGTTCACGTGAAAAGAATGGGGCTTAACGGTTTTTTTTGTTTGTTTGTTTTTTTAATCTAGCGGCCTTACCCTCCTCAAAAAAAAAAAAAAAAGACATTTCTGAGAACAAAACAAGTTTCTTCAAAGATGTGACTTAAAGTATTAGCTAATTTAAAGTTAATGCAAAGAGCTCTTTCCTGGTATAAACTCTTTTCCTAAGTATGCATTTTGGAAATATGACTGATACATGGTTTACAATGTTTGTTTTCTCTTAAATCTTAAATTGACTGAGTATATTTTTCCCTGTAATTTCAAGCATTAGAAATGTAATAAATATCTTAGTTGAAAGTTTTGGCAAATTTTACTAATTATTATTTAATTACACGTTACTGCTTCGTCTGGTTCTTATGAGTCAGTGCTTGCTAATAATTTTAGTGTCATTTTCTTTTTTCTATTTTATTCTACCTATAGCCCTAAATTCGAAGACATTTACTGAAAGATAGTTGTAAGTGTACTGTAGACATAATCACATGACAAGTCACTTTGAGGCTACTAATTTTGAAAGAGCAATACTAAGTCATGTGTTCTCAGGGGATGCTCAAAAATTCATTGCAAATGGTGGATTTTTAATGCAACATAGAAGATCAATGGGAAAGCCCTCACACCATTGCCCCTTCCCCCTTAACTGACTGTGAACTTTAATAGCCAAACTAAAATTTTATATGTTATTTCTTGTATTAAATTTCAAACTAGAATAAAGTGAATATTTTCATGGACTCTGCTGAATCTGATAGCTTTTAATTTATGCAGTCTCATTTTCTTAAAATTAACTGTAGTTAAGAGATGGACAATTTTGGTGTTAAACTTGGCACGCATATGACATTCAAGAGGTTACATTTAAGTGACTCATATCCTTAATTATTACCCCCTCCCCCCAGTACCACTCAATTAATAATGAAAAACAACCAAACAAACTACAGAACAGAGTAGTTTCATACATTGTCACATGTCAGTTTTAGGCCAAATACATAGGTCAAATAATAATCCAAGTAAATACTTCAGCTACCCTACCCTTTATATTTAAACATGTACATATAAAGATATAAAGATGCTTGCATAAACTGATAAAGCCACATGCCCAGGGCTAACTTCTTGAAACAAGCCTAGGGGACAGAATATGGCAAATATCATTGGATAGTATGGTCCATGTAATTTTGCAGTTTCTTATGATTTAGTGTAGATTGCTTTTCTCATGTGTAATAATGGGTTAGTCTAAACTTGGTGTACTGCAGCAATTTGTTTGCACTATGACCCAGGGAAAAATTTCTACTTTCCCAGATATCGTTTTGCTCACTAGTCTCAGCTCTTGATATAAAAAGACCATTAATCAGCTAAAGTAAAGTTCATAAACGTTTTTCACTGGAATTCAACCAGTGTGTGCCTAAGAACCACTTGGGCCCTTCTGTGTCCTCTTATTTTATACTTCACCCTAACCTCATTTTCTAACTTTCCAGTCTACAGCATATTATAAACAACTTAAATTGAAAGGGAGAAAGGATCTGTGTATATTATGTATATTCTAGTTTAATATGTAACACATGTAGAAAGCTAAAGCAGGAGTTAACTCCTGCCACTTATTTTAAGAGAATTTTCTACTTTTGGGGGTACCAATTTTTAAGTTAACCAGTTGCTATAGGAGTAATTGTTCTCTCTTCTCAGCCCATTGTGTGTCAGCCAGCTGCTTTACGTGTTATGTACAACAGTTATATATAAATAAATTTATATAATAAAGTTTAAATAATAAACTGTATAATAACTTTATAATAAAGTTATAAATAAACAGTTTTGGTTTATTTAAATATCACCATAATGCAGGTGACATAACTGAAGTACAGAGAGATGTGGTATCTTGCCCAAGATCAATCACTGATAGAGTGGAGATTTAAACCAAGATCTGCGTGAATCCGTGTAGCCTCTTTTCTTCTATACCAGTTTGGGTTTCTCAAGTTGGTATTTACTGGCAAATTCAATAACTGGCCTTGTTTTCCCTCAACACTGTTCAATAGAAATATAGTGTGAGCCACATATGTAATTTTAAAATTTCTAGTAGCTCATTTTAAAAAGATAACATTAGACAGGTGAAATTAATTTTAATAATGCATTTTCTTTAACCTACTATATCCAAAATATTGTCATTTCAACATGTAATCAATATTTTAAAATTATTAGATACTTTACTTTTTCAAACTATTTCTTCAAAATTTGTATGTATTTGATACTTAACAGTACATCTCAAAACTAGCCACATTTCAAGTGCTCAATAGCCACATTTGGCCACAGGCTACCATATTAGACAGCACAGGTCTAAGGTGTAATAGTTTGGGGAGATGTTTGCTTATTTCTCTAAGCCTGTTTCCTTATCTGTGAAGTAAAGAGTAACATGTACCTCTTAGAGTTGTTGTTAGAATTAAATGAAATTTTAAAATGCCTAACACAATACCTGGTGCGTAGAAATTGCTCAAAACTTGTAACTGTCATTCTTACTTTTATTAATAATAACGTTGCCACGCTACTTTCCTTAAATTTTACCTTTGATATAAGTATAATTTTAAAGGAAATAAATTTGTAATTGGCATTTTGAAATTAATTACCTAGTATAGACAAGATGCAACTAAAAAGGGATTAGGATTAAAACAATTCTTGGAAAAATTGTGGTGGTATTCTCTTAAAATATTTTCCCTTATGAGGGATCTTATGGAAAAGGGCAAGATCTTATTGAACATTTAACTTCACATATAGCACTAGTGTATAGCTAAACAATGAAATAAAGCTTTCCATTGTATTGTTATCATTTGGAATGTTTTGCTTTTAAAAAATAAATGCTCCCTTTAGTGTTTATAGGGACACATGCTCCCCTAAGTGTTTATAGGGGCACACACGTACTTACATATATACTACCTCTTGTCAAAACCAAGTGGACCAACTGAATGGCTGGCTATATTTATAAGTGCATTTTTTTTTTTAACTTGAGTTTGGGTGAGATCACACACAAGAAGAGTTATAGGGATACAGAAAATGTTTTGATTGAAATAAAACTAGAATTCTTTCTGATTTCATAATTGCTTCTCTCATTCTTACCCATCCCAAGGTTACCCATGGTCCTGACTTGAAGTGTCTTAGAACGTGATATGCAAGGCCTATTTGTTCTTAGGATAAAGCCCAGAAATCCTTAACATGACCTTTCAAAGCTCAGCATGCTCTTGTCACTCCCTGCCTTTTCAGCCTCACCTCTTGCAACCCTTCTCATCCGTTATAATCTAGCACTCAGACCTTATTTTAGTTCCTTGACAATGTCTCTCTCTGGGCTCTCCTTCTGCCTGTAGGAATATACCTTTTTGCAGAGTTAATTCCTACTCATTCTTTCTCTCTACGGAAATATTTTACCCCACTCAGGGAAGCCTTCCCCATCTTCTCACACTGAATGAACTCCTTTCTTGTCTTCCCACACTAGACTAACTTCACGCCTCACCCCTTCCCGCGACCACACATATTTTAGACATCAGTGCACCCTGTCCTTTCCCTTTTTTTTTTTTTTTTTTTTTTAGCACTCATCAAAACTTATTCAGGTGATAATTTATGTGTAGTCAGTCTTTCTCACTAAGCCCATGAGGCTAGCACAGCTCTTAGTACATAGGAAACAAGAACAGTATGTTAAAAAAAAATGAATGTTCAGAAAGAAATGTATTTGTGTTGTCCTTTGGCCTCAGTTTTCCCAAACGTTTTAATTTTATAGATGGAGGAGATGAATTTTTAAAGTTCATTTTGCAGATGGAAGAGATGATCTTCTTTCAGCTGTAGCGTTCTGTGAGAGCACTTCTAGTTGGGGCAGCAAGGGAAGAGGTAAAGTTTAATAGGAACCTCAAAGAATTGGGAGCATGATGTATTCCAGATGGAGGAAATGGCATGGGAAATGCATAGAATATGTTTTTTTGATGTTAAGTAGACCAGATTGGCTAAACTAGGAATTTATATAGAAGTGTGAGAGGAGGAGGTAAGGTGAAAAATTTTAAAGCTGAATTACAGAAGGTTAAAGACTTTGGGCTTGATCCTATAGTCAAGGACCCTGATATAAATTGTTATAGAAATATTAATATGGTGGTGATATGGTAAGTGGCTCAGCGGTAATAGACCACTCTGTTTTATAACAGACAGAATAGTTGTAAATACTGTGATAATCTAGTTTCTATATAAAGTATAAAAATCCTGAATTAGCATGGTGTCTGTAGGAACAGAAAGGAAAGGGATGTGAGTAGTGTTGTTAAAGAATGAATTAATCAAACTTTGGTAGAGGGAGAGGGATAGGTCAAAAGTAACCTTGACTTTTTGAACAT